GTAGGTGTATTTGATTATACTGAACTATATGTATACTTGGAAATGCACCACCCGTCGCTTCTGGCATAATTTCGTTTGTAGTAAGACATTTTAACTGCATTTATAAACCGCGACATAGATAATCAGATTTTTTTACGTATTACGTACTGTAGCACGTTCCTATTTTCCCGTGATCGAAGCGTGTGATTAAGATAACGTGGATGCAGAATCGATCATGAGGGTAACGTGGTACTAATTAATCGTGCACGGCTAAGAATAAACTTTATTTCGGAAAACTGGTAGAATGAACATTGTTTCGGTTTAATTGATCACAAGTGCATATCTGTGCTGCCAATCGTTCATATCCGTATGGACCTAATTTCCTCCAAAATATTCTATATGATGTCTAAATTGAGCGCAATTTAATTGAGTTATTTTTTGTTCGAAAGTTCTGGCACATATTTCCATTACGCAACCTTGAATTATTAATAAACGTTCCTTATTTACGTTTGCGGATCGTGATGTTAGAATGAAGCGAAAATGGATATTATGAATTTCGTTGTGATCCACCTCGGCGCAAGAAAAAATAAACGGTAGACTTTATTAGATATTGCTCTTGAATGATCATTAACACATGCGTCTATAATTGAAGAATGATCGATGGGAATTTTTTGCAAATCGCGAGGGGTAAGGGGTATAAAATTTACGCCAATGATGCTTATCCCGGAGTGGCTAATTTTTCGCAAAATACTCATGCGAACCCGTCTGAAATTTTTTTATAAATACCCATCCTATATCCCTCAGTTCGCCCATCATTGATATGATCTACCTAGGCTATGTCCTTGTAATTTTTAGTTTCAAACTGCGCCATGAACGAGAGAGTTAGGGATTAATTATTAGAAATGTGTAATGCACTTCGTGCACTTTCTACGAAAGATAAATAGCATAAGCTTTACTACAATGCAGTTATTTAGATTATACATGTATACATACCACAGAGAAACTTTTGTAACGAATGCTCTAATATATTTTTATTAAATAAAAAATTATCGACTTTTTTTTACATAAACCTTTACGAATTGCCGAAGGCAGTCACATAGTGGCTATAATAATCAATGATATTTTTACTTGAATATGCCGTGAGTAATGGGGTTATGCTAATCTTTTTTGTCTGTAGGGTTTAACGAAAATACGATGTACAAACGCCAAGTCTAGATATTATTCAGAAATTGGGGGTATGGGGTGATATTATTTTCACAATTAACCCAAATCTACAATTCGAAACAATTATCCTTCCAATTATACTAGCCTTGATGGATAAATGCTTTAGATTCTTGCCGTGAAACTGTAAAATGTATAAAAGGATGCCCACCATCACCAGTAATAATAATATCAAATATTAGCGAAGCTAGCAAGGGTGATAAGTCATTCTAATAAAAAACAAATTTTTAACAAATCTGATTCAGCGAACCCGTAAATCCAATTTTCGTTAAAAAAATGACTTTGGTCGACATTCCAGATAATATGTCTCTTATGGCTATGTCCGCTTCTTTGATTTTCTTTATCGTGATGATATCCCCCGAAAATGCTCCTCAATGCATGGGGATTCTCACCGTGTGCTTCCTTTTGTATTATGTCGGGCAAAGGCTTGCTAGCGAACTTTCCGCGCGTGAATCCAAAATTAATGATAAACTTGCTGCAGAAATCATGAGGGTCGATGCACGCGTTGCCAACTTCGTGACAGAAGCCCAAAATATCTTACCCACGATTAATAACATAACTGTGAGGCTTGGTGAAACCGAACAAATTTTAGAAACCTACCACATTAATTTCACTAGAATCGCCACTGAGTTCGAATCAATCAATGCTTCCATCACAACACTCCAAAATGGAATTTCTCAACATTATGCAATTGTCCAAAGAGTTGAACCTATCGAATCAGATCAACGAAGCGAGGCGGGACAATCTGAAATCTCTTATACAAGCTCTTCACCTGCAGGCTCTTCGTCCGGAAGTTCTTCTGGTAAGAGTGGAATTGTGTTTTGCGTACGTTAGTCGAAATTTTCTTTCAGAGAAAGTATGTTAACATTTTTTTTTAATTACAGGTTCGGCTCCAATAACATTTACCGGTATTAGCTTAACCGTCTGGAATCAATTTAAGCAAATTTTTGACAGAATCAAAACCGAAAACAGATATACCTTGGAGGAGATGTGTCTTAATGTGGCGATGGATATTCGCGCGCTTGGAGGGAATATTAAGAAAATAACGGTACAAAGTTTTTACGAAAGAAATATTAAGAAGAGAGATGGTTACATTAGTACATTAGACCAGATCGGTTTATGGGTAGATAGTAAAAATAACAATAACTTAGCTAATAATATGGAGTAGGGGAAGGAACAGCCATTTTTACATTGTAAAGGGCCTAGGATCCCGGCTTATTCCTCCCTCTTTGCCCTCTACTCCACGAATAATTCCACAAGGCCGGCCTTTTACAATGTAATGTAGCGTAAAAAATAACGTTGAAATATACAATTAATAAAGCAATTATTTGTTATTTTTATTCGCGTTTCGCAAGTGTTAATAATTGAGTATATTAAAGTTATGCATATGACCGATTGCGAACCAATTATGTATTACAAATAAATCTCGACAATACAACCTCGTGAAGCATCCTCCTCCTCATACTCCTATCCACGGGGTTAGCCCTTTACATTTGTAAAATAACGTCTACTATCAATAAAGTTATTATTTGTTTTTATTTTTCTGTGAGAAACTATGCATTTCGTAGATACTAATGAAATTCTAGATTTATATCACGTGCTATGCTAGGATAATAAAAATCGCAATATTTTTAATATTTTTTTTTTCAAGCTCAAATCATGTCTTCTATTTCAGATCCCTCCAAAAAACGTTTGAATTTAGATTCTTACAATATTATTGAAACCGAAGACTGGACGTGTGATAAGTTAGTGGAACATTATCGTGCGAATTTAGAGAGAAAAGATTGGAGCTACATACTAGATAGTATCAAAAAGGACCTTAAAAATGTGGCGCTTTTGAAGTCTGGATTTGACGAGGAACGGAGAAAAAAAGCTCAAGAAATAATTGACCACTGGAAAGTAAGTTTATTAGTAAGATAGAATTTTAACGAGTTTAAGGAAAGCTGGCGACTCTTAGTCACAGTTATGAACTCTTGGTTCTTCCATTTCAAGCGCAAGCTGGGAACTCTTAGTTCCAGTGGCACACCTAGTCCACAGCTATGAACTCTTAGTTCGACGTTTGAGCGCAAGCTGTAACTCATAGTTCCACAGTGATGAACCCTTGGTTCGACGCAACAATTCTTGTAGTATTTCTAATTCTATGTTTTGTTTTGTTAAGTACTGGAGGACTATACCGGCAAAGAGAAAGATGGAATTGAAACGCGATTTTTCGCACTTTAAGATTGATACGATGCAGGTGGGACCTTAATATTAAAATCTTGTAAGATAAGGCATGCCCGGTAACATTTTCTTTCAATCAGGTAAAGCAACAAATGCTTGCAACAGGAAGTAATGCGATACAATTTAACGATAACCGAAAACATCTCTGAGATAATGATGGAAAAGCTGTGGAAATTTCTAGCGAAAAGACTATTGCTTGCGGTAAGGATAGTAATCATTTTGGGCAGTATGGGAAATTAACGTGCACTTATCATTATCTCTTTTATCTTTCTATCAGAAGATGATAAACCCCCCGAAGACATAAAAAAATGGACCCCGGAACATGTCACGAAATTCCTCGAATCTAGAATGAAAGATCTGGATTTTAATGAAACCGATATTAAGAAAATTAGAGATCAAGACCTTACTGGTCGGGCGTTTCTCCGATTAACAGAGGAAAAATTGACCCGTAAGCCGGGTCTCTATGAACTAAAACCAAGCCCGGCAGAATCTATTATGGAGTTGGTGGAAGAGCTGAATGAGAAATTAGGTAAGTAATTGCGTTATTTGAACTTAAAGTCTTTATTAATAATTTGTCTTATATTATTTCTATTGCTCTTAAGCCAAGGAAGTGACACCATCAAAGTCATAACTGTCACTGAACCGATACAATATTTTCAATCCTAAATAAAAAAAATTCACGCGTCCATAACATATACATAGTTTCCAATCTCCGAATGTATACATTTTAACAATATATTAATAAAGTATTGCCAAAACAATAGTAGTTTATGCATATTATTTATGATTGCATCGAATTAAGTTTGGATAATTTTAGATTCGCGTTTTTGTATATGACTTTTTAAGTTACAGGTCTAACATGTACTTTGTCAAAGCTTACAGATACTTTCATTAACAAACCCCCTAATTTTTTGTATCCTCTTCGGAATAACAATTTCTGGATTTTCATCATACCATATCTCAAGAAGAAAAATTCCGTTATCTTGACACATGCATCTTTTTTTCCGATCACGATTGACGATGTCTTCGAGTTTTTTGACATCCTTATACCAGCTAGTGTTATGAAGCCGATGTTGTGCCCCTTGTACCTCTAACGCAATTCGATTACTTCGGAAGAAGGCATCAAGTTCTAATCTCTCCATAAAAGATGGACGATATTCGACTACGGGTTCTTCTCCAAGCAATACTTGAGCTATTAGGATACATTTCTCCTGAAATTTGCGATTTTTCTTAGACTCTAGTTCCTTTTTAAGTTCATCTATATTCCGTTTTAACTCCACATTCTCACCTTTAATTTTGATGTTTTCTTTTTCAAGTTCAGTAATCTTATCCATCAACTTCAAATCTGTTTCATCAATTTCGGTTTGTGAAGATTCAGAAGTTTCAGAGTTTATCCAGGGATAGAGTCCAGTCTTATTCTTATATCTTTTATAGAACCTAGAACGAGATTTATCTGACAAAATGCTTGGTAATTCTAATTTGGCTTCCCACTCCAAATATCCAGGGGTTAATGCTTTATTCATGTTATCATTTTTCCAGGGATCGAGACCAGTTTCTCCCTTATATCTTTTATATAACCTAGAACGAAACTTATCTGTTAAAATACTTGGCAATCCGATTAAATTAGCATGCCACTCCAAATATTCTGGGGTTAAGTCTTTACTCACGTTAACGTTTTTCCAGGGATCGAGCCCAGTCTCTTCTGTATACGCTCTATACAATATGGAACGAATCTCATCTATCGAAATACCTGGTGATACAGTAATTTTAGCTTGCCACTTCAAATATTCAGGGGTTAATGTTTTATGAGTTTTTGATTCTGTGCTCTGCTCTTTCATATTAACGTTTTACATGATCATAAATTAATTCAAATTAGATATTGACTTTTTCATAGCATAATCGCGTATCGATTGTGGAAAAATCACATGTCTCTGTGAAAAAAAAAAATTCGTGCACTTTTGCCAAGAAAATTATTTCGGAAAAATTACCATTATACAGTACACGAAAAAATAACAAATGATATGTTGTACGTTCCTCTAACCAAAAATCTTTATTAATAAAATATGTGATAATAATACAGGATAAAAATACAAGATATATATATGGTAAAAATACGGGATAGGGCGTAGCCCATTGCTCTGCAATAAAAATCTATCTAATTAATAATTAGGAGGAGGGGATGTCACCGTTGAACTATCTAAATTTCTATTTGATCTGCGATCATGTGCACTGCGTAACAGAGACATATTAACTAT